TTCTTTGATTCTACACCTTCCTTGGGAGTCTAGAAACTCGCCCATGGTTCTAATTTGGCTCCAATACTTCTCCATTGCCCCAACCAATTCGCGAAATTTCGCGTTACTGTGCACTAGTTGCAGGGGAGCAATATGCAAATAATGATTCCTCAATTTGGCTAATTTTGGATCGATCTCTCCCAAAGCGAGAATCGTAGGAGCCTCCTGTAATGTGATCGTGGCGGCGACAAGGCTCGAAGTACGCTTGGTGGTTCTATCCACAGAGGGGGTCCTCGTCCCTGTTCGTCGTCTTCAACAGAGGAAAGTTTTCCAGAATTGATTCTTGAATTCCAGGAAAACCAACTCGTGTTGAAGCTACGAAGACGTTCCTGGGCTCATAGGGAACGTGTCAGCACCGGTGGTTGAGATCGACGTCCTCCCAGTTGATCCGACCAAGTGGACATCTCTCCTGCCCTGTTTCAACGTCACCGACGAACAGAGTTCTGGGCAGCTGGTCGAAGGGGAAATTTGATGCCATCAGCTCGATCTGGCGCTTCTGTTTGACTCGTAGTTGTTCATTTAACCTCAAGAAAGCTTTTTGAAGACTCTTCGTGCCCCAATTCTCCCGCTTCGTCATCGACAAGGCTGTTGGTTTCGCCACTCTGTTTTACAGGGGAAATGCAGAGTTAGTTGTAGGCTGCAGATTCGAGCTCTGGAAGGGACTTCTGCAGTTTGCGAAAGCTCATAAAATTTTATCCAATGCTGCGTTGTACCCATAGGCCATAACTGAGCTTTGACATTGCTTCCTTCGTTCCTATTCTCCTCCATATGTTTTAAATAAATAAAAAACTGCATCGGGGAACATAGGTTTCAATTTGATCTTTTTCCCTCATGTTTAAACGTATACGAATTCTCCCAGCCATCGTGGATGACCCTTCTGTCGAATTTCCAGGGACGTTCAAGCAATACGTGGGTTGTATGCATTGGTACAACGTCACAAATCACTTCATCTTCATAGCTGTCGAGTTTAAAACGAACCAAAGCTCGTTTCGTCACATTGAGCGTCCTGTGTTCGTTGATCCAGCTGAGGCTATATGGTTGAGGATGCTGGTTTGTCGTCAATCCGAGCTTCTTGACGGCGTCTAAACTGAAGAGGTTTGCATAGCTGCCTCCGTCGATTACTAGAGACACCAATTATTCTTCAACGAAACACCGGCTGTGAAATAGGTTGTCCCGTTGTTCGTTGGACTCTCTATGCTTGAGGACGACTGCAGGGGACTTCTCTTTGCCACAAAATCGTGGGTGCTTGGCCTCGGTACTTCCCTCTATCAATTTCGTAGATCCAAACACGTTTTCATCGCAATCTAGCTACGGACAGCAGCTGCAAAGCATAAATAAGGGTTGCCCTGTTTTGGAACACGAATTATGCTTGTGATATAGACAATTGCTTCTTCTCCTTTGCCCTTGTGTAGAACCGGGCTCTAATAACATTTAACACGACCCTGGAGGTGTATTTTTATCAAAGTAAAGTAGCAAACAATCAATCCGAAGATTGATTTAACTTGAATCAAGAACAACGCGTTCTTAATACGAAATTAGGACAAAACAGAACCATGATTGAAGAAGATATTCAATCGATACAAAGCTCGTATTGTATAAAAGGGTAGCTGCTCGACCATTATTAAAGAGGATATTCAATCGATACAAAGCTCACAAGCTTGGAATCCACCAAACTCAAACAAGTCGCAACTTGCACAAAACCAAAGGGTTTGTTTTTTGATTAATCAAAGTCTATCTTACAACGTGAATTTGAAAGCTATTTAAAGGCGATAAAAACCTAATAAAAACCTAATGTAACTAGGAAACAATTAAGGTAAAAAAAATCTAAAAACAGTACAAAACTCGGCCACAAACTCCCTTTCTTGACGCACAAGTAAGCTGCTAGCAAACAGTCCAAAAACAGCTTTCGTACTAACTTCGTGCCATTCGTTCGAGGCCTTCCGAAACTCCAATTCTTCATCCAATTCCTTCCCTTTGTTCAAAAACATACCTAGTTTCATGTTGTGGAAGTCTTTTGACTTGAATCCCATCAATGCTTCTTGAATTGAGCTCCAAAGTAGGCTTCACAAAACTGTTTCCAGACTTAAACCATTTTCTGGCAGTTTTCCAGTTTTGAGGTTGCAACTATGAGGCTTGGGAAAAAACCTTAATGATATCATATGGACCCAAAAAGCATAACATTGGAAATATGGCAACGTTATCTGCAAAACAAGCCCTTGAAATCCCATTTCCATTGAACCATTTGGAAGATACAAGCTTCCAAAGTAGGCTACCTGAAACTATTTCAACACTTGGCCAAAAAACAGAATTCTTCAAATTAGTTGAGATGACTTCTTTGGCAAGTAATTGTGAATCGTGGATTGATCCAATTGGGATCATATCAATGAGTCCTCATGATCAACGCTGGAAAATTATCATATGACATTTTAAGAAGGTTTAAGTTGGGTGAACAATTCGTCCAAGACGAAATTAATTAGAAAAAGGTCGGTTTTTTATGTGATTATTTCTGGAAAATTTTTAAAGATGGTTAAGGGATCTTTGGAAAGAGCTTGAAGGAAGGGATTTTGAGAAGAGGGTGTTCTATTATATCAAAAGGGGTTTAAATCGAGAAAGGTGTTCTAAAAAAATGAATTTCTTATTCATAGGTTCCCCGAGATAATTCGTCCAAGGAGGGATTTTTACGAGTAAAGAATCGAGGAGACATCTTTTGGAGGTGAGTGTAAAGGGGGTAATATCTTAGTCGTAGGGGTTTTAGTTAATACTTTTATTTTCAGTAATTTTAGTTAATTGATGAATTTTGTGCGATCATGTGTTGTAGGTATCCCATCGCCTTCTAAGGTGGCAGCCTACTTCCTAATCCAAATTAGTCCGACTTATCTCTCTACATCCTAGGTTTTGTGAGCTTGATTTATCGCAGGAAGGAATCGATGTAAGGGAGGAGATGCAGTGGATGACTGGAGTTGTGGGTCATGCTAGGGTGACAGGCTAGTGGAATAAGAAGTTTCATCGCATGGTTAGTGTTTGTCTTCCACCGTCTTCCATTTTAACCTTTGATTTTTTTCTTTTATCATGGCTGAAGGCGGGGAGTGACAAACCCAATTAGATGTTGCTTTCAGTCTTGAAGAATGCATGCTATCTCACCTCAACCAGCAGCACCGGCGCCCCCATCAGAAACTAGCCAAATCTATCTTCAACCTAGAGTTTCTCAGCTCCATCTGTGGCGAGAAGGATGCTCAGCAAGGGGAAGAAACGCTACGAAGGATCGCACCAGGAAAGAGAAAGAGTGGAAGAGGGAAGAGCAGAGCTCGACGAAATCGTAAACAACAATTGACGAATTATATAATTGTAATTATATTTAGTAATAATAATTAAGTAAATTAAGAATAATTAATAATTAATTAATAGGTGTGAACAAAAGCGTACACCATACACCACTAGCCTTTGCTATATATATTTACTAAGAAAGAGTCGAGCAGCCCCTGTGTTAATTCCCGAGCACCCACGAGTCTCTCAAAATCCTTTCCCCAATTATTTCCCCAGCAGCGCCCCACCCTCCTTGTCTTCCCCAGCGTCGAGTGAGAAGCAGCGTGGAAGAGCGTAAAGGGAAAAAGAATAGGAAAAGGAGAAGAAGACCCGACCCCGTTACGAATCCTTTCACGATTCTAAACTCGATTCTAAATTCGATTCTCTAATTCGAAACCCGTATTTTAGTACATACCGTTTGCGGTAACGTTTGAGAGATCGAACATCGATCGACAAGGAGATCAACGTCCGGAACCCCTTTGAGTTAGTTCGGTTGTTTTGGTGATTTTTCATGGGTGCAATTCTGGGTTTTTAGCGACAAACTTGTAGGCTTTTAGTGACAAATTTTGGGTAGTCACTAAACCTTGAGGAAATTTCAAGAAATGCAATTTAAGATGTTTAAATTTTTTTGAGCCACTTTAGATGATTGTTTCTAGATTTACCAATTTTATAAGTTGAAGAAGGTCCAGGAGGTGTAAGTGATTTAATTTGACGATATTTGAAGATGAGTTTTGCACGATTATGTGTTTGAGGTATCTCGTCGCCTTCTGAAGGCGGAGGCACACGTTGTGCTTGTGTATGTATGAATGCATGGTTGTTGGTAATTGAAACCCCAGGCGGTTGGGCCACTTATGGATGCGGTAGATGGTCAGATTACTGCTAGACGACGAGACGTAAAGCAACAGTTGATCGAGTATGTTGGGGTCCCTACTGGACGGCGAGACGTAACGTAGCAGTTGACCGTTTAGGGACTATTAACTACCATTTTACCCTAGGTAAAAGTGTATTTTTCCTGTAGTGGACTAACTCCTTCTCACTCACCAGGTGTGGAAAGGGGAAGATGATGTAACCAGCACGAGGAGGTTAATCAAGGAGATCAGCAGCGTCAAACTTGAAGATGTCAGAAGGATTAGGGTAAAGCGATGGGACTATCCATCTTAACTATCTTTATGAGTATACTGGTAAGCTCAAGGAATATGTTTTAAGTAGTTTGGATTGTAATTGCCCAAGTGTTTAGGGCCCTTCATTTGAAATTCTTAAAAATTGTCAGTTTGATTTTCAAAACGTGGTTTGGGTTGCTCTGGAGTAACCGGTTTTTTCTTTGAGTTTTGATTTGGTTTGAAAAGGATCGGGTTGTTTCATCTTCTCTCTAAGTGGTGGATATAATTCTTCTCCAACAAGGTTCTAGGTGAGATGACAACCATCTGCCACATTCACCAAATCCGATGATGAATCATCACTACAGTCGTTGGCGACCCTCCCATCAAGTTTCCGGTGAGCCTTCCAATTTTCGTAGAGCCTCAATTACAAAGAGTGGTGAACAAAATTTTATGCGATAAATAGTAATTTTCGAGAGACAAATAACAGGTGATGCTCTTATAGTTGGACAATACTGTTGGGGCACAACGGAAATATAGTGAATTTAGAAAAAGAAAATTGTTTCACTCTAATATTTATTTATATCTCACGCAACTAGGTAATTATTGCCTTTACAAAGAGCTATCTGATAATATGCTCACTCTCTAAAGCTAGCTCTCTGCCCCTCTCCATGCCTCAAATGAGGCTACATATTTATACACAATTCCTAGGCTTGTTTCCATTATTAGAAAGGCCTACGACAAAACAATTAATAAGGCCAACTATTGTGGTTTCTAGCATTTGATGCTTTGTTCAATTATAGGGGTAGGTTTGGTGTATTGATAGTTGGCATATTTTATTGTTTAATTATTATAGGTAGTTGGGTGGATTGGATAGATAAGAGAATTGACAGATTAGGATTTCTATCTTTGATACCTAAAACATTATGCTACGACATAAATTGCCTCATGCATCACTAGTGTTTAGTAAGTGAGACAGTAACATTCACATAGTGATGAGCTTCCTTTTCACACATCCAATTCGAAAGTATCACTCTGTATCTCATGAATACCTCGTCCGCGATTTTCCGCTGCAAAGCAAATTGACTGACTAATTGTGGCTCCATCACCGCCCTAACGCACCTTGCCACATTGTGCCCACCATCTTGTAGGGTTTCAGGCAAGTTTACTTCCATATCATGGGGATTCCAATTAGATTCCCAAACCTCGAGACGCTCAATGGTGAAAGAGCCTTGTTTTTGGATTTCAGTTTCTACTTCCATCGGGGATGGCATGTAAAATGGGAGATTGAAGGAATCCAGTTTTTCTTGATCTATCAATCCCTGAGAATGATGAAACAGAACACATTAATTGTTAGTACTTGCTTATCTCCATCAATTTATCATATTTTTGTCAACCATTTAATTCCTATCTTAGTCAAAGGTATTATTTTGGAAATTGGCGGAACAACATCCATATGTTTCACCTTACCTCAGAGGCCATTTGGTCGAGGACGACAGACAAGAGTTCGAGGAGATGAATGGATGGCGTGGTGGATGGGCCTTGACATCTCCTTCCCAGTAATGTAAAAATAATTTTCCCTCCTCGCACCAGTTCTTGCGCCCTGCAGCTCAGAAAGAAGGAGAAATCTGTCTGGAATTGAGTGTAGTAGGCTTTCAAGACACCTGGTGGGCTGCTGCTCCCGATGGAAATATTTCCCTTATTCATCTCTTCCAATCCTGGAGGAACCCGTGATAGCCAATGGAGGCTGTAGGACGAGTGAATGAAGTGAAGACTGTCGGATGGGAAAAGCTTGCCGTAGAAAGACCCAGGCACTCCATTGAAGAACATCGGTAGCTCGATCCCCAATTCCTGCTTCATCTTCTCTGTGAACCCGTGCAAGGACCTGAAGACACTGTTGAAGTCATTTCCAGGGAGGTCATTCAAGAAAACCTGGAACTCGAGAGATACGTGACCCAACTTCCTGCTTGCTTTGTCTAGTGCTTTGATGAGTTCTGACACAGCGAAAAGAGTGTTGGGTCCTGAAGCGCATCCCAGATCGGCGATGGCTAGATTCCGTCCGGAGAAGTTGGAGCTGCTGACGAGCCCCATAGCGGCTTCCTCTATTATGGGTCGAGTCATTGATATCACCTTCCGCTGCCAAAAAGAAGAAATAAGAGGCCGGAATCTCAAATTGATGCAATGCGCTAACTGATATCTCAACCGATTACAAACAACTCGGACTCTCACTAATAAAATTTACCTGAAGTAAGGAGTTGGCAGCATAGCTTGTGTCTTCAGTGCCGCCATTCATATGAAGCATATGCGCCATTTCCATCTCCGACAATTGCCTTTTTGAGAAAGATTAGAAAGTAGATGTACTTGCTTTGCAACTGCAAATAGGACAGCTTCTTTCCTTAAATAGAAAAGGGGCAACTACTTAAGTTTGCCTCATTGTAGAAAGCCCGTAGCTGTATCACATGTCTAAAGTCGAACGTGGCTAAATGGAAGCCATATTTTGAGTTTCCATTATTTGTTTATCGCAAGATATTATTGATGCCGATCGAATACATTTTTTTACCCAGAATTCAATTGGGTGTCCACTCTATTGACGCCAAATAAACAACCAACTGTTTGCTTCCGCCCCCCTGAAACCAGCTACGATACTAATTTCCATATTATTAAGCGCTTTTGACTTCTGCTGGCCACTTATCTCAACTTGGATGTTAAGCCATTATCGACAGTAGCACATGGAAAAGGGTCCCCACAACAATTATCTCACGCAGCAACTTAATTAGTGACTCGTGACCCTTCAACCCAAGGTGGAGCCTTGCATTAGATGAGGTGGGGAAGGATAGAGTCAGTACCTACCCAGTATGGTCGTTTATGGCTGCTTTGGGAAGGGTTGGAGAAGGCTATAACCCGTAGCCGTAAGTGACCTTTTAATATTTGTACTGTTCCTTACAAAAAAAGCTCTCATAAAAATACTGTTCATTGGCGCTTATTGTTTTAAAATATGTTTTGTGCGTACGGCCGGTTGTGGCATGTGCCGGGCAGCATCTTTTCTTCACCCGAAGACTGCCTGGAGGCTGAGTAAGCTTCTCCCCTCATCGTTTTCCCCATTCTTCCCCTCCTCTCCCTTGATATATCTCTCTACTTCTTCTCCTTTTGTTTCTAGACGAAGTTTTGGTGGCAGCTGCGAAGCTTAGCCCAGCAGAGAGACGGAAGCTGCCGGTCCTAAGGATTTATTTCCCTAGCTCCTCTAATTAAGTCTCCATTATTGCTCCTTTTCGTAGTTTAATATCATTGAGAGGGGTTTAATTATATTTTGATTGGTTAAGGTGCATAAGAGGGGAGAGCAGAAGGGAAATTGAGTGGTATAGGCAAGGTTGAAAGAGAGCAAGAGAGGGCTGCAACATTGGTCCAATTGCTGGAAAATTGAGGAGGGAATCGGAGTATGAGAGTAAGACATGAGTAATTGGGCAGAAATTTAATACTTTATTATGAACTACAATTTAATGTACATCATTTAATCAATTTGCATCACGCAAAATTTTTGTAAGGTAAGTTACAAGTAGTTTGATCGAATGTGATATTTTACATAACTTCATTTTTATTATTAGGTCACCTATTATGGAAGATTTTCGTAACACCATTCTATAATAATTACGTAAATTAAAAATACATTACATGACTCTTACACTGGATTACTTATATAGTTATATTCCTTATGTATAAAATTACATATAGTGTATTACATAAGTATTCAATAATGATGGAGACACTACGTAAAACTTATGAGGGATGTTAATTTTTTGTGTATCAATTAAATAAAAATAATATGTAAATATTTCATAGTATAAGTTTGAATGAAAATTCTGCAATTTTAATTAACTAAACTGGTGACCATCTTATCAATTTGCATTATAATTATTTTCTATGATATGTTAGTTTTACCTAACAATTTAATCATATGTGATACTTTTCATAACTTATTTATTGTTAAATAAAATCCCTTTCTTATTGCCTACAATTTTCACAATCCCATCAATTTTGCATCACGTAAAAGTTCTATAAGATAAGTTAATTTTACATAATAGTTTAATCAAATGTTACACTTATTTATAACTTAGTTTTATTATTGGACTATACATTAAGCAATTTACCTAAAAACATTCTTTAACAATTATGGAAATTAAAAATAGATTACTAAAACTTATAAACAAATAATACTTTTATGTATCAATTAAAACAAATTCATATCGTCTATCATCAAAATGTTCCAACAAAGTATCGAACAATCCAGCAAAAGAAATCTATTTTTTAAATTAAATTTAAGTTAATAATTAGGACGGCAATCCGTAGTGGACAGCATAAACCTGACAAGGAGACTGAAAAAATGAAGAAAATGAATCATAATTAAAATTAGTCTATGTTAAAATATTTTTTTCTTAATTTTTTGTGGTTGAACCAATGGACTAGTCAAACCCGGGGCGGTTCAATTGATTTCATGTCAAACCATAAAAAACTGTTGGTTCCACCACTAACTGTTCAATCAAATGAACCAAACGCTATTATTACTGCTTTAGTGGCTTTTTTGGCCCAACCATTGATTCAGCTCGGTTCTTATAACTATGGTAATATGTTAATATTGTCAAGCTAGAAACTAAAGGTGTTTTTATACCAACAATTGCTAATTGGAACTGAAGTACGGGTAAGATGTGGTGTTGGGTAAGTTTTGGACTTTGTTATAGTGACATGCATGTCACTATAGGCACACCCAAAATAATGAGTTTTATGTATCAATTAAACAATATAGTACGTAAGTCTACTGTAATAATTAATATGTTATGTTAAGCTTATAATGAGTTTTTTCAGATTCATTTTTGTTACTCCAACCTATTGAATTACTAATAATTAGCCAAATATTTTATAATGAATCAAAATATCAGCCATATTATGTTACCGTTAATAATTTTGCAACTATTTTCTTAGTTAAAATTCTAAATTTTTGGAATGTTGACCTCCATGTGTGTCTTCCAAGTCAGTATCACGTTGTCAAATCAATATTACTAAGAAATTGCTAACTGAAAGTTAATATTTGACTAACTATTAGTAATTTAATAAGTTTTGCTAATAAAAAAATGCGGAAAATATTTGGATAATAATTAGTATTTACCCAAAAAAATTTATGTGCCAAAACATAATTTTTCAATAATATTTTAAGTAAACTAAGAAAAGTTTAATATCAATAAAATGCCTGTAATTTATGATTTATGTGAATTGTGTTACTATGTTTTGTATATGACAGTTGTATGCCAAAGTTTAGTTTTCTTTTAACTTTGATCGTAGTGGTCTAAAGTATTTAATATATTGGCAGGTGACTGTTACATGGTGTTGATTTTTTTATCACGCCATTTAAAGAATTTACATCAAACTATTATATTAATTGCAAAGTGATTCGATAATAGATATGCAATTGCATTTTCAGCTGAGTAGATGAAAATCTCAATCTTACCCAATAATATATCTACACATATCCTCCTATAATATATAGTAGATCTTCAAGAAATTTTCAGTATTTTGAATTTCCTGACTTCTCCTTGAACGTCGCCGGGTTATTTTCGGAACTAAAGTGATAATTTTGGAAAGAGCAATTTTCATCGCCCGCACAAGTGAGAAAGTGAACGGGCCCAGCGATCGTTTCAGCCCATAAACAGAGAACTGGTTCCAGTCACGCCGAGGCATATTTCAACTGTTCAGCCGCATCGATCGTCAAGTCCCCCGCCGCACCTACCCTTCTCCGTTGTTTCCCACAAAGAGAAGCCTCGCATTGTTGCTCTGCTCAGCGTCGACTTCTCCCATACCTCAACTTCTCCCATGGCCTCTTTACCCATTGGCTCAATTGTCGTTTCTGCTTCCCGGTCCGGCCGAGGAACTTTGAATCTCCGTTACGTTTTCTGGATATGTGAGAAGAAAGAGGTTGATCGAGAAGAACGATGACTATTCGGTTCTCTTTCCTGAAGCGCCCAAGCATACAGTTTCTTTGTTCCCTCCGTTTTCTCTTATCATTCCGAGCGAAATTCTTCTCCCCAGAGATGGATGACGACTGATTCACCTTCCCATTTATTCTTCCCAAATTCATTGTCCATGTGAAATGTTATTTTTGTAAGCAATTAAGGAAGGGGAACTATGCATGATTGGTTCGTCATCTATTTGCCGACTTTGCTGTCAATTGGGTTCTTTCATAGGCCAAACCCCAATCGATCATCTTTAGATGTATCGATTGGGGTTCCTCAAAATCTCATAATCTACAATCCGAGTGATCCAAGGACCACAATCCAACATTGTATTGAAGCGTTTGGAGAAGAGAAAGACATCTCCTACAAGGGTAAACAAGTTCTTTCTCCATGTGCCTTATGTTTAGTTCTTAACAAACCCCATTAAAGTTCAGTTCCTAAAGATAAGTTTTGGTTGTTGATTTATTCAATTGCCGAAGCAAGTGCTAATGTGTACGCTTGAATCTTTAGTTCTAGGCGGAGATGATGAAGTCTCTGTAAGTTTTCTTGAGAAACCCTTTTAACGATGAGAGTTCTTATTAATGGGAATGACAATAATTGTGTGTTGGTTGCTGTCGGGGAATGACAAGATTGTTGTTATAGAAATGACAGGATGAAGCGTTAAGGCTACCTTGATAGTTTAACAGTGTATGCAGGGTTGAACGTGAAGGTACTGCATCATTTTTATATGATGCTTTGGATTGTTCAAGTGATCGTGTACGCTTCTTATGGAGGAATTAAATTGTGAGGAATCTTCTAAAATATTTTTTTTTTGTGGCAAATGAATCCAAAAATGCAACCCCTGTACTTCCAGTCTCAATTGTGTTGTTAAGGTTTTGTCATTTCCGTAGCACCAACTCCTCTCCTCACGTCAGACCATAAAGCCTTCATTCGGGATTTGGTCATCAAGTAAAATAAACATTATGGATTTGCTATTCTAAACAAGTTATTTTCTCTAAGATAAAATATATAATGCTATTATTTTATATCTTAGTGGCTAAAATATATTGTAATTTAAAATTACTAAATGGTTCAGCCTCGCCCAACTCGATTAGTCCAATTTTTATCATTTTAAATATATATTATATAATTATTTGATATCATATTGATTAAATTATAGTGTATTTTATAGGGAATCGTTTGGTATTTTTTTAGTAAAAAAACTAAACAAAAAGATCCATTTGATTATTTTTAACATTAAAACGATCATAAACATTTCCAGTTTCCTTTCGAATTTCTATGGTTTTGTTCCCGAATCAGTGATGTGCTAATAGTGAATTGCAATCATCTATTTTCTTTCAATATATTTATTTTCAATTAGAAAGTTTGAAAGTAAAGAATAATTGGAGTTTGGCATGGGGTCGGTCAAACAGGCTGAATTTCAAATTTTAGCCCGTCTTGATCAAGTCTAATTTATAATCACATGGTTCCCTGACACCCGATAAAAATCTCAATCCAAACCAT